CAGCACCCTCGGTTCTCCTCCCCCTGCACAGCCTGAGAACCCAAGTGACGACAGGAAGGAGGTGGTCCTCTACGTCAGGAGCGCCGGTGAGCCTCCAATCAAGGACACTGCCTGCCAGACCAACGGCCCGGGACGACAGGGATGCGGACGGTCCAGACCATTAGCACTGACCTGCAGATCAGAGCCCCGCGGGGCGGCGCAGTCACCCGCAGCCCCGACACAGGTCTCACGCCCAAGGCGTGGCTGGCGCCACACCGGCGGCCTCTCCCTCTCGCTGCCTCAGGAACAGGCAGGTGACCTCAGCCATCTAGAAGGCGCAGGCCTAGTCTGAACACACGGCGCTCCCCCAGTACGGGTCTCCAAGCTGCAGGGGAAGCCCCTCCCCAGAGTGGACCAGCCCACCGGCGGGACCTCTCCCGGGCTGGCCCAGAACGGGTGCGGCAAGCCGGCCTGGGCCTGCACCCCCTCCACGCGGGAGAGCCCCGTGCACACNGCCTCCTAGTCTGCATGATCCAATGATGGAGAATAAAGAAAGCTGTTACAAGATGGGGGGGTGGTACACGCACAGAATTGCCAAAGGTATTTTTCACAGAACTAGAATAAAAAATTTATAAGTTTGTGTGGAAATACAAAAGACCCTGAACAGTCAAAGCAATCTTAAGAGAAATTGGCTCATACAATTGTGGAGAAAGGCTAGTTTAAAATCTGCAAGGTGGGCTGGCAGGCTGGAACCAGGAAAAGCCAGTACTGCGATTCAAATCCAAAGGCTGTCTGCTGACAGAATTCTCCTTAGCTTGGGGGAGGTCAGTCTTTTGGTTCTGTTTAGGATTTCAACTAATTACATTATGGAGGGCAGGTGCCTTTATGCAAAGTCCAATGATTTAAATGTTAATTTCATACAAAACCACCCTCACAGAAAAATTCAGAATATCTAGCACTGTGGTGAACCAGCCAACTTGATACATAAAATTAACTATCTTAAGTCCACTCTTTGTTAACTTTACATACATACACACACATATATATATTCATAACCAAGCAATGAGTAAGTACTCATGATAATTATAGCACTGCTGCTGTTAACAGTCACCTGGTCATAGCTGGTATTCATACTTTCTTACACACTGCTTGTTCTGTGTTCCCTTTTTCCTTAATAAGTACCTCAGAAGGTTATAATTCTTTACTTGGTAGGATGACCCAAACCTTTGTTTCTGAAGGGCCGGAGCCCTTAATAGTCCTTCTTGGGTTGGGTTTTCCACTGATTTTCCGTTGATTTTGATCACAGGGTACAGTAAATAAGGGCTGCCCTAAGCAGTCACCTGTACTCCAAATATACTCTTTTACATCCATGGTGAAGTAGTAGTCCAATATCCTCTTGGTAGTCAGAATCAATTATCCAAATGAGTATAGTAAGTGCTTTCTTGGCTTATAGATCAGAATCAGGCAGAGTCCAAAGTGACTTGGTAGGAGTCTTAATTTCCAGTTCAATGGAATTACTGTTGTATTTCCTGATGGAAGCATTCCTCCTTTCAATGCTAAGAACTAGAGTAAAGTATTGGTCATAGGGATAAGAAGAAAAATTTTGCTCGTGAGTCACTAGGAGTAATAATGAATGGTACTGCCTCCTATTCCCACCCCTTGATTCCTGGATCTGTGAATCATGGCTGTGGGAAAAACAGCACCATATACTGGATTCTAATTCAGAGCACATACAGCCACCTTGAGAAACTTGTCTTAGCCCTGCAAGATATTGCCATCTAGCTGGCACTGTAACTGAGCCTTCAAAAAGTCATTCCACCATTCTACCTAACTAGCTGCTTTGAGATGGTGGAGAACATGGTCAGTCCTATTCACTTATTAAAATCTTCCCTTGCTGAGGTCACCGTTTGGTGTTCACATGGGACACAAAAATTTGCACCTTTTTGACCCATTTGGAGAGATCTATCCATATATCTTTTCTCCAAGCTTTTTTCATCTTGTTCCAAATGTGTGCCTTCCAAGTCCCAAACTATTCAGCCAAACCATTGACCACAATCCTTGGACTTCTTGAGTAACTGTTGAGTTTGGAGAATTCTTTACTCCAGACATAAGTTCCTTTGTCAGATATCTGTAGTTTGCAAATATTTTCTCCCACTCTGTAGCTTGTCTGTTTCCAGAGAGAATTTTGATGGTTTGATTAGTTTTGATGGTTAAATTCACCAACTTTTCTTTTGTGTATCATGCTTTTGGTGTCATGTATAGAAACTTTTCGCTTAGTCTTGGATCCTGGAGATTTTCCCTTATGTATTTTACACTTAAATGTATGATTTGTTTGTGTTTAAAGTTTAGGTCAAGTGTTTATTTCCCCCAAACCTAGGGATTTCCAGTTGCTTCAGCATCATTTGTTGAAAGACTATTCTGACTCCATTGAATTGGCCTATTGGCGTAGGTATGTTTTTTGGTGCTGTATTCTATTCCATTGATCTATGTGTATATTCCTCTATCAATACCACACACTCTTGATTAGTGTACCTACATAATACATCTTGAAATTGGGTAGAGTGATTTCTCCCACTTAAATTTTTCTTTGGCTTTGAATACAAATTTTAGAAGCTTGTCTCCATCTTCAAAACATCTTGCTATGATGTTGATAAGAATCATGTTAAGCCTGTATATCAGTTTGGAGACAGCTGACATCTTTGCTTCTTAATGGAAAGTGTACTATCTTCAATCATTGAGCATAGTTAGATGTAGGCGTTTTGTAGATGTTCCTATAAAACTGAAGAATTCCCTAGTTTTCTGAGGTTTTTCTTCTCCATGCACGAGTATTGAAATTTTCAAATGCTTTCCCAAAAGTTTTATGGTCACCTGATATTTCTTTAGTCTATTAAAATAATAGCATGCAACTGACTGATTTTTGAATATTGAACATCTAGATCTTGCATCTTCTGACCAATATCCATCATGAAAAATTCTAAATAGTATTTAAGCAAATTTGCATTAGTTTTCCATTGCTGCAGTTACAAGTTACCACAAACCTAGTGGCTTAAAACAGCAAAAATTTAATTTCCTACAACTCGGGGTATGCAAAATTGGTTTCACTAGCCTAAAGTCAAGGTGTCAACAATGTTGTTTCTTCCTAGAGGCCCTGGGATACAATCCCTTCCCTTCCCTCTTCCAGTCTCCAGGAGCTGCCTACATTCTTTGGTTCACGGCCCTCTTCCTCCATACGTATAGCTGTAGGGGTAGCATCTTCAAACTTCTTCATCCCTCTGCCTCTGCAGTAACATTGCTGTCTATCTTAGCTCCTTAGAAGCCATTGGGTCCCACCAAATAAACCAGGATTATCTCTCTACCCAAGATCCGTAATTACATTGCAAAGTGCCTTTTGCCATAAAACGTAATATATTCACGGGTTTTAGGGATTAAGACGGAGAAGGCAATGGCAACCCACTCCAATACTCTTGCCTGGAAAATCCCATGGACGGAGGAGCCAGGTAGGCTGCAGTCCCTGGGGTGGCTAAGAGTTGGACATGACTGAAGCCACATAGCAGCAGCAGCAGCAGGGATTAAGAGGTGGACATCTTGAGGGTTCATTTTCTAGCCTACCACACTCTATTTCTTTGTACTGTCTTTGGTTTTGGTATCTGAATAATACTGTGCCATTTTTTATTTTTGTAACAGAATTCTGCTGTGATGAGACATTACATTCTAAATTTTGTAATTTTTTACTGTTGCATTCCTGTAAGTTGGAAATATTTGATGAGTACTAAGTCTGATAATATATAGATAGCATACTTTTAGCAGAGGTATGCATAAGTGCATGCTAAGTCGCTTCAGTCGTGTCCAGCTCTTTGTGACCCTATGGACTGTAGCCCACCAGGCTCCTCTGTCTATGGGATTCTCCAGGCAAGAATACTGGATGGGTTGTCACGCCCTCCACTGGGGATCTTCCTGACCCAGGGATTGAACCTGTGTCTCTTATGTCTCCTGCATTGGCAGGTGGTTTCTTTACCACTAGTGCCACCTGGTATAGCATAGGTATAGTGTTGTATAATAAAGGCAATGCTTTGCCACTGAATAGCAAAATAATACACACTTTACCTTAAAAATGAGACAGTTGACAGTCATATCCTCTTCTTGTTTTTACATGATGGGCATCCACTGGCATTAGAAAAATTATGGTAGTATTTATGGTACTCAAAACGCTGTCAAGTTGTAACTATATCACTGTGACTTGCAGGGTGCCTACCAGTCCTGCAAAGTGGTGAGCACACTACATCAAGTCTCTGCTGCAACTACTCACCTGCACTACTGTAGTGCTCAGGCAGCCATAAATAATACAGCAATGAATGTGCATCTGTGTTCCAATTAAACTTTACTGATGGACATTAAAATTTGAATTTCATATAGCTTTCACATGCTATCTAGTTCTCCTTTTGATTTTTTTAAAACATTTAATAATAACATAAAAATCATTCTTAACTCACTCTAGGCTATGCAAAAACAGGTAGTAGGCCAGATTTTGTCTGTGAGCCATCATTTGCCAACTCTGCCTTAAACTCATGGGACCTATATTTCAAAGCAGGGAAGGAGGAATAGCAAGAACATAAATAAGTGAAGAGGTAAAAGATACTTTTGTGTTATAAAGGAAACTAAACAGCAAGATGGCTAGAGAATGCTTAAAGAAATTTGTAAATGCAAACCTGAATGATATGCAGGAGCCAGTCATGGGAAAATTAAGTACAGAATATATGAGAGAGAGAGAGAGAATACAAAGGCAATGGTTGGAGGCAGGCAGGTTTGGTGAATAAGAGGAAGCAAAAAGTTACGTGTGGCAGGAACACAGGAAAGAGGGGAAATGACCAAGGAATGTTGGAGAGTCTAAATAAGGATGACCACTGTTAAGAATTTAATTAGCAGACTTGTGAGGACTAGTCTAATTAATGCACTCGGTTTGTAGCCCTGACTAATTTATATGACCACACAAAATATTGTGAATTTAAAAAAAACAGAGAGAGTGAAGGAGAAGATGTTTTTATTTTTGCTGAATTGTTCTAGGAAAATACAGTATCTCCTATATAATCCAGTAGACTGAGAACAGATACAATTGGACTGAACCATTCATTTCATTAAATGCTCACTCTTAAGTTGTAATCCTTTGCTTTATATTTGCTTTTAATACAAATGTGTTGCTTATCAGGTGATTTAGAGCCATTTACAGCAGCTTTATGTAAAAAGTATAGTTTCTTACAAAACCCAGAATATTAAGTCTTCAGTTTAAACTTTTTTCCTCTGATAATTTGTGTATGCCAAGCTTGTTCTAATTTCTTGTAATGTACTGGAAGGAAAACCATTTTCAAGTTTGCATTGATTTGTGGCAATATTTGTATTCAACAATCAAATGCTACACTATTTCCTTTTAAATGGCTATGCACTTAATTAGTTTCACTTGTTCAGCAATTAATTGGTTTCAGAGACTTCTTATTTTGGTATTGACCCTGACTATTGATAGTTGGAGCAGATACTGTATCAGGACTGCAGTGCATATTTTCTGATCACATCGCATAGTTTTCACATCTGAAAAAAAGTTCTCAATCATAATATCATCTAGTATCTTTCATGACTGTAAAGTATTCTTCAACTAGTCTCTTTTTTTCATTTATTTTTTCCAGTATTGCTTCTAGTAAATATGTGGCAAAAGGAAGCTGTAAAAGAAACACAGAAAAAAAAAAAGACGATCAAAACTCTGTACTTTCTTTAGTTCAGAAACATACACTAAATATCATTAAACCATTTGAACTGAGCTATCTGCAACTCTGCACCCATAATGGTACCCTACTGGGTCTCTTTTCAACTGATCTTGCTGGTTAGTGTGGGTAATTTTGTCTTTTATAATAAAAATGATAAAGGAGCAGAAGTAAAATGAAAAAAGATAAACGCCTTATTGAACAATTCATGGTTTACTGACCATGTTAATGTTGTAATCTGCAATACAAGCAGCTAAGTCATTTATCTTCAATCAGTTGATCAATAGCAGGTTACAGTCCTCTCTAGGGCCCACAGGCCCACAGAAGTAGTACTATATGTTCATCACTCATAAAAGAGGGAGAGCGAACTATCAATATACTTGCCTGTGTTACAGTTGAACGTCTCGAGGATTGTAGGGTGAAATTTCAGAGGGAAAAAAAAAATGGCAAAAGTATATACATTGATTAAGTTGTTATAGAAAAGTTTATTTGGCATATCAAAGTGTAATACACATGTTGCAAACTGCTGAGTTTATGAAATGTAGAGTACATTTTAAAATTTAATAATTTATATAACATTTCTGGTAAAGTTTTATTGTTCCTGGGCTTTATTGAGTTGCCTGTAGAACTCATAACAATACAATTATAGGTGACAAGTAAAGGAAAATCTGAAATGTTCCCCAGTTACCACCCAAAGCCATACTGACTTCCTTTTATCCTGCTTCCCAGCTATCTAGTTTCATGGAAGAGATTTGTAACAATCAAGAAATTCATTCATTCATTTTTTCAAATTGTCCTTTTAATTAACCAGGGAAGACTACTTTTGTCTCCCTGACTAGAGTAAGGACACTTTAGCCTAGTACCCCTTCCCTACAGAGATGTACAGTTGGGCCATTCTTTGTGCTAGGACAACCACTGACAGCATCACTGGTCAGCACCCAAACAAAATCAGCCCTATGCCCTCCGTGTGAGTTGTTCAATTGTGCTCAGATCAGCTGTGCTCAGCCACAGTGATTATAATTAGCTAACCCCAGCATAATGGTTACTTTCTGAATTCAAACTGGGAAAAAAAGAGAAAAGACTGGCCAGTGGTGGTGAAACAACAGGCCAAAATGGCACAGATTGTGTAAGCCATGGAGAAAATACAGAGACCAAAGTTGGTCCAAAGAATTGCCTCAGATCCTAAGTAGCTTTCTAGTTTAACTTCCGTCTTACCTTTATAATAAATTGCCTTCTCCTTAAAATACTCTTGAGTCTCTGTAGGAGAGACTCTATCTATAGTCTATGTCAGGAGCTTCATACATTTGTCTTACTTAAAATTTAACACTAAATAAAGTATAAGATACAAAAATACCATCTTTCTTCACTTTTTAAGATACAGGTAAATATACCCACATTGACTTAAAAACAGCTTTTTCTGGAAAAAAGGAACCTATGACATTAAATATACACAAATTGCATATGTATTTTAATTTCAGAAATGTGAAAATGTGGGGAAATGCATCATAGAATGAAGGAACAAGAATATATTAGATTCCCTTCTGGAAGATAATGATACAGCAAATCCTTACTTTGAGAAAACTGCCCTTCTGGGATGCAGAAAAGTTATACATATTTGCCAGTTTTACAAATGAGATAATTTAAATTCTCAGGGCATTAATGTTAGATGTTAAAGAAATACACACACACACACACACACAAAGGCAAAACTACTGGGTGTCTATCAATATACTTGCCTGTGTTACAGTTGAACATCTCGAGGATTGTAGGGTGAAATTTCAGAGGGAAAAAAAAATGGCAAAAGTATATACATTGATTAAGTTGTTATAGAAAAGTTTATTTGGCATATCAAAGTGTAATACACATGTTGCAAACTGCTGAGTTTATAAAATGTAGAGTACATTTTAAAATTTAATAATTTATATAACATTTCTGGTAAAGTTTTATTGTTCCTGGGCTTTATTGAGTTGCCTATAGAACTCATAACAATACAATTATAGGTGACAAGTAAAGGAAAATCTGAAATGTTCCCCAGTTACCACCCAAAGCCATACTGACTTCCTTTTATCCTGCTTCTCAGCTATCTAGTTTCATGGAAGAGATTTGTAACAATCAAGAAATTCATTCATTCATTTTTTCAAATTGTCCTTTTAATTAACCAGGGAAGACTACTTTTGTCTCCCTGACTAGAGTAAGGACACTTTAGCCTAGTACCCCTTCCCTACAGAGATGTACAGTTGGGCCATTCTTTGTGCTAGGACAACCACTGACAGCATCACTGGTCAGCACCCAAACAAAATCAGCCCTATGCCCTCCGTGTGAGTTGTTCAATTGTGCTCAGATCAGCTGTGCTCAGCCACAGTGATTATAATTAGCTAACCCCAGCATAATGGTTACTTTCTGAATTCAAACTGGGAAAAAAAGAGAAAAGACTGGCCTGTGGTGGTGAAACAACAGGCCAAAATGGCACAGATTGTGTAAGCCATGGAGAAAATACAGAGACCAAAGTTGGTCCAAAGAATTGCCTCAGATCCTAAGTAGCTTTCTAGTTTAACTTCCGTCTTACCTTTATAATAAATTGCCTTCTCCTTAAAATACTCTTGAGTCTCTGTCAGGAGAGACTCTATCTATAGTCTATGTCAGGAGCTTCATACATTTGTCTTACTTAAAATTTAACACTAAATAAAGTATAAGATACAAAAATACCATCTTTCTTCACTTTTTAAGATACAGGTAAATATACCCACATTGACTTAAAAACAGCTTTTTCTGGAAAAAAGGAACCTATGACATTAAATATACACAAATTGCATATGTATTTTAATTTCAGAAATGTGAAAATGTGGGGAAATGCATCATAGAATGAAGGAACAAGAATATATTAGATTCCCTTCTGGAAGATAATGATACAGCAAATCCTTACTTTGAGAAAACTGCCCTTCTGGGATGCAGAAAAGTTATACATATTTGCCAGTTTTACAAATGAGATAATTTAAATTCTCAGGGCATTAATGTTAGATGTTAAAGAAATACACACACACACACACACACAAAGGCAAAACTACTGGGTGACTTTGTTTTATTTTGACTATGGCCCTCAGTACTGTATGCAATCCAAAAAAAAGGAAACAAACAAGATGAGAATACCCTCCTATCTCTTCCTGGTAGAGCAAAAGCAGAAATGAGTATTTTAAAAAGTTGTTCTAAAAAGTAAAAGTTGTTCTAAGAAAAAAGAGTTCTCTGATCAAGTAAGTGTGGGAAACAAACCAAAGTTTAAATGTTATTTTATTTCAGGATCTCTTAGAGACTTTAATATGCTAATGCACTGTGTTTCTTCCAGAGGGCAATGTAATACTGTTTCTAAATTCATGGGTCCACACTTTTCTCATAGTCTATTTATCATGGGGCACTGGTGGCCCATGGAACACACTCTAGGAAATATGCTGGTTCTACGATTTCCTATATAATGATGTCACAGCACTTTTACCAGGCCACAATGTACTGACATTAATTATCTCATTTGCACATTTCAAGTTAAAAACTCGGCCTACTTTTATTATCTTGCAATCAGAACAATTTTCAACATGTCATGTACTTGAACATTTGGCTTCCCTCTAAAAATAGTCTAAGAGTCTCTCTTCCAGGAAGCCTCCAAGGTGGAACAAGAGGTCCATTGACTAATTTATTGCTAATAACTCTTATATTCTCTTCCTTTGGCTCCCAATAAAACAAAAAGCCCCACAGTTAAACACAAATGTTTGAATTCTAAGTGTCTCCTAAGCTTAATATAGAGGCTAACACTTGATGAAGTTCAAGAAGCAGCCTATCCTTTAATCAAGATGCCCAATTTGTGTACATCCATCTCCCCTTGTAGGTTCTTCTATTTTTCTCTACAAATAGGTCAGAAAAAATAATTTCTCTTTATGTAATAAAGAGAAAAGTTCATAATATCTCACAAGGTTGTTGGAGATTAAGCACAGGTTTATTTCATACAGGCAGTGTAAGAATCTGTCCTTTTCTCGCTCAGATACAAAAAGAAAGCACAACTCTTCTTTTACTGACAGGATTTTGGACTTGGGTTGAAGTGGCAACCTGACTGGCCAACAGCAAAGCTCTTTTCTCCCTTGCTCCATCATATGTATATGTGAAACAGCAAACCTGCAAAATATGCTCTTGGGTTCCATCTCAGATGGAATAGGCTGGGGCCTACGAAGTCCAGAAAGTCTGCTGGGCTTTCTGCATAATTTCCTTATCTCTTTTGCATAAATATAGAAATGACCATCTTAGTTATGTTACTGCAGTTACGCAGGCTTGAACTTTTCAGCACAAGGAGAAAAATGGACAGGGGAAGAGTTGATACTGCATAAGATTTCTCGGAATGGAAATTTAATTAGGGAATCCAAACAACCGTGAGTTTTACTTGGTCTATACTGTAATCTTTGATTAATTAATGTATGCGTTTACTTTTTTGGACTGTGCTGGTTTTTCTTTGCTGCGTGTGGGCTTTCCCTAGTTGCAGAGGGTGAAGGCTACTCTCTACTTGTAGTGCCTGGGTTTCTCATTGAGATGGCTTCTCTTGTTGTGGAGCACAAGATCTAGGATGTGAGGACTCCATAGTTGAGGCCATGGGTTTAGTTGCCTCCATGGTAAGCGGAATCTTCCTGGACCAAAGACTGAACCTGTGTCCCCTGCATCGGCAGGCATATTAACCACTGGACCACCAGGGAAGTCTCTATACCATAGTCTTGAAGGGAGTCTTTCTGGTCGTTCTGGCTGTCCTTGTTGAAAAAGGTGACTTCTCTTATGGGAAACACTTCCCCTAACTTCACACAGATTTTAGGCTTCTCTTACATGTAAATGACCACAGATGTATGCCAGTGATAGAACTTCAACTTTATCACTCACACTTACAAATTATGACTTCATTTAGAGGCATTCCTGTATAAAGGTAAGATATG